CAATTTCAAAACAATCTAGGTTATTTAATTTGTAAGATTTATAAACTGGTTTATATTTATTAATATAATTTTTAATAATATTACTATTTTTTATTTTTAATAATCTAACATCACCTAAATTATAAGATAATACTATGTTTTTAATTTCTATTGGTAAATCATAAAATATCATATAATATTAATATATATTTAATTATTTAATTATTTAATTATTTAATATATATTAATTAGGTATCATTCGTTGATTTAAATTTTTATAAAACATTTTTTCTTTATCAGATTCCATCATATTAATAAACATAAAACTATGTTTTTCATTGGTGGCTGTGTGATACAATTGTAATAATGTTTGTTTATCATATAAAGCGCTAAGTTCATCTATTATAGAATCTAGATCTTTCTGATTTCTTAATCTATATACATATAATTGTGTTGCGTTTTTTCTAACTACCGGATTCAATAATGTGTAAGATTGACACGTTATAAAAGTAGAAATAAAATAATGTCTACCTTTTACAAACAATCTTACAAGTTCTTTATTTTTTCTAGCAACATCTTTATTATCGCTAAAATCATCTACTATTATAGCAATATTATAAATTTTTGAAAAATTTTTATCTTTCATATATTTTACTATTTTTTCTTGAGTATCAATAATATTTTTCATTTGTTCTTCATTAAATGTATCAAAATATACGGGATCGTCCTCGGTATGATTTATTTTTAATTTGTTTGATATATAATCTTTTACTGTGTCCCAGTTATTATCTAAATGTATTGTCGGACTAAAAATAAATATTTTTTCAAAACAATCGCGATACACATTTAATATTAAATTTGTTAATGTAACTGTTTTACCAACGCCAGATGGAGCCGCGAATATTTGTCTTGCTGGTAGCTTACCTACATGATCATGTCGTGATTGTTTACTATTGTATTCTTTAGTTTTGTACGGTTTGATATCAATCATAAATAATATTATAAATACTTATAAAATAATAAAATATAATATACTTATATCATAATGACAATAGAATCTATTAATTTAAGTGAAGTGGCTAGTATTCGGAGGATATATAAATTTGGTGATGTCTTAGTTCCAGATACTGTACAAATATATTATGATACGATGTTATACTTTTTATCTGGAATTAAAAATTATAATATCGTAGTATCCAAGTCCGCAATTGAAAATGACAATAACCTAGATTTTAATTTTAGAAAGTTAGTAAATTTTATGAAAGATTATTCTAATATATATACAGATGAAATGATAAATAGTGTACAAGAAGTTATTAATAATAATATTCTAGATGTTGATATGCTAACTGCACTAAAACTTACTAAAGCTAAAGAAAATAATTTAAATAAATATTCTATTTAATATTAATGGAACATCATTATGTTATGAGTGGCGGTGAATAACATAATGGAACAGGTTTCCATTGCTTCAATCAGTAAGCATTGAAGCTAATTAGTTTGTATCTCTCTCGCGTGCAATGAAAACCCCAAGTGCTGTGCCCTCCGAATATTCTATCATGCATGAAAATAATAAGATTAAATAATTTAAATAATTATTTTATCTTATTATTATATGACTGTTATCCATTGCAATTGTTGTAAAACTTATGATGACAAATATTTATTTAAACATCTAAATTCAAAACATCATCAGAAATTTGTGGGATATAGATGGAATAAGGACGATACAATGAAAAAACTTTACAAGAAAAGAAAGACAGAAATTAAAAATAATTTATCTTATTATTTAATATGAAAAGGAGTTATTCAGATTATATTAATATAATAGATGAAATGGAGAATATAGAACAAGTACTAATAACTGATAATAGATGTAAAAAAATATGTTATTTTATTTTAGAATTAATTAAGTTTTTGATACAATATATTAAAAATATAAATGCTAATATAAATGCCAAAAAAGAAAAACAAAAAGAATAAGACAGGTTTAAGTGTTTCATCAACTGATGAAGAAATTGTTAAAGAAACATCAGTTATTGAGGTTGTTTGTCCTACATGTAAAAGAATGTTAGAACTTAAGAATGTATTAGAAATAAAAAATAATAAAAGTTGTAAATGTTCATGTATTCCAACAAGTTTCAAAATAAGTAAAAATGATAAGAAAATGAATATTGATAAAACTAAAGACAGTATCAACTTAGAAACTGATGTCCATAGTATAACTTTTAAATTTGGTAGGCAAGCAACACCAACCGATAATAATGAAAACGAAACTCAGGAAACTGTTAAACAAATCATGAAAAATTAGTATTTAAAGAGTAGATTTAACATAATTGCACTTTATAAATATAAATAAATAAATATTTAAATAAATATCTAATTATTTATATAATCATAATGCCAACTATGAATGGACAAGACCATAGAATTATAACTTTTGACGATGAAGAAATTAATGATATATTCGATGGTGATAAAAACTTTGCTAGGCAATTGAGTATAGAATATTTTTATTGGTTAGATGCTAAATTTAACAATAAATATTTTATGAAAGGTATAACTAAACCAGATAAATTTGATAAAATGTTGAAGTTTTTTGAAATTACAGGTAACGATGAAGGTTTAATACAATTGAAAAATAAAATTGGTGAAAGACTCTTAGAATATAATTTATTTACATATATAACATTAAATTATTCAGGTAAATTATATAATAAAACGTATAATTAAATAAATAATTATCTAAATAAATATATAGTAATGTCTGAAAATGAGAATTACACTATTAATGATTTAATGAAGAAGATAACATTAATTGGTAAAAATATTAAAACCTTAAATGATATGATTAAATCCATTGATGACAAAATGAAACCAGTTGAACGCAATGAAGATAAAGAAAAAATCGAAAAGATATTTCAAGCAAAATCTATAGGAAGACCATCGGGCGACTACCCGACAAAGCAAAAGAAATACTGTGATATGTTGAATACAGGAAAAATCAAACAACCTAAAAGCACCACTTTAGAATTTTACAAAATTTCAAAAAATGATGATGGAGTATATGTATTATTTGAATAAATAATATCTAAATAATTCTAATAAATGAATTTATTAGAATTATTTAGTGGAACAAAAAGCGTTGGAACCATAGCAAAGTCGCTTGGATTTAATGTGATATCATTAGACTTGAAAAATGCTGATATCAACACTGATATTTTGGAGTGGGATTACAACAGTTTGACAGAAACCATTTTGATTTTATTTGGAGTAGTCCCCCATGCACTGAATATAGTGTAGCAAAAACTAGGGGAATTAGGAATATCGAATATGCAAATAATATTGTCTTAAAAACTATTGAGATTATCAAATATTTCAATCCTAAATATTTTGTAATCGAAAATCCACAAACTGGATTATTAAAACATCAGGAGTTTATGGATGAGTTTGAATTTAAAGATGTAGATTATTGTAAATATGGATTTAATTATAGAAAGAGGACTAGGCTATGGAATAACATTACAACTTGGAAACCTAGAGATTTATGTAAAAAGGATTGTGGCAACATCAGGAATAATAAACATATTGAAACAGCACAACGGCTTCCATCAGGCACTAAGGAAAATTGGGGAGACAATCCAACAATACATAAACAGGAAGACCTATATAAAATACCTAGCGAATTAATTTGTGAAATCTTAGTGAGTTTGACGGATTAAGGATTTTGAGTTTGGGGTTGGGCTTGCAACTTGAGCACATGCAATTGCAATGAACCAAACCACCACCTATTTTGATAAAATCGGGGAATGATTTTGATAAAATCGGGGAATGATTTTGATAAAATCGGGGAATGATTTTGATAAAATCGGGGAATGATTTTGATAAAATCGGGGAATGATTTTGATAAAATCGGGGAATGATTTTGATAAAATCGGGGAATGATTATAACATTTATACCCTTATATGTTATAATTATAATGTAAAATGACTTAAAGGAATAAAGACTTAATATAATAAGAGAAAAATGCCAATGATAGGAGTGACAGAAAAAGAGCTGGAACAGGATAGAAAGATAATATTGAGCTTCATTAAGGATAATCCCTATCCATCGTATAAACAAGTCATTGAAATAATTAAAAACGATAAAACAATGAAAGATATATATCCAGATATGTTCGCTGAGTATGGAGAACAAAATCATCAATGGATAAAAGAGATTTACGAAAACATAATGAAAGAAGAACTCGTTAAACATAATGGTAATAGTATTAATGAAAGAGGAGGAATGACAACAATGCATTTTAATTATTATACTTTGGTATCAGTGTTGCGTTATTTAATACAACAAAGAGCACCAATGAAAGATTATGACGTTAACTTAATCTGGTATAATATCAGAAACATTTTGAGCAGTTCTTGGAACAACATAGGAGACTGGAAACACTGAAAACAGGCTTAATCATACTATGATTATCACATGTAAACTATTATATGTTATAATTGTAATATATTTATCGTTTGTAAAGATTGAATTATTATAATTTGCTTATCTCTTTCAAAGTGCGTTGTTTAGACTTGGCATGCTTCTTCAATTTTTTCGTGCTTTGGCTGTTTGTTTTTGTTTTGTTTGATGCTCTTGTGATATTGTTTGTTGGTATGTTGCTTTGATTTTTGTTGATGTGTGTTTTTGAGTTTGGGTTCTTTGATGATTTAGAGTGTTGCTGTTTTGTTGGTATGCTTGTTTGAATTATTTAATGTTGCATGCTGTGATTAAATATTTTTGTTGTTGGTTGTGATTATTTATTTTGTTTGCTTGTTGTTCTGGATTTTGTTTTCTGTTTGTTGTGTTGCTGTTGGAGAAAAAATAGTAGAAAGAATAATTCTTTGAATTCTCCTTTTACTATTTTTTCCCCAACCCCACCCCCCCCCCCTCACTCCCCTTCCCCCTCCCCCTTCACTCCCCCCCTCCCCCCCCTCCCCAACTCCCCCTCCCTCACCCCCAACCCTCTGCCCAAAGCCTGGTGAAGGCCCGCCACAGCAAAGTCCTGGCTGCTGCTGAGGTCCCCCAGCGCCACGAAGCTGCCGCACACGAAGATCTCCTCTGATTTGGAGCTGCACGGAAGGAAGCCACGAACGACAACTCCGACGCGCGAGACCTCCGGGCGCCATTTAAAAAAAAAAAAAAAATCGCAACACCCACCGGACATGCCTTTGGAGAACCTCAATTGCTGACCGCGGACTCAGCGCGAAGGGGCAAAACCGGTGGAGAAACAAGAAGCCTAAGATCCTCAATACAATCTCAAGAGCGTTTGATGGGCAAACTGGAAAAAAAAAGTGATAGTGCTGGACCCTGGCTACTATACAACTGGTAAGCTTAGCCATACTTGCGAATGAGCGGGTTACCGCGGGTTTCAACAATTCCTGCACGCTGTTCAAACAGTGCGAACGTTTGAACGTCCAAAATCATTCCCCCCCCTACCCATGGTCGTGGTAGCCCTCACTCGCAGAGGGGGAACCTGAGACCGGGAACACATGTGCCATGGTCAACGTTCATGTGGGGCATGGCTTTTGTCTTCAAAGGAATCCTTCTCATTGTCTAAATTCCGAAGAGGTCCATGACTCACTTATCGAGTGAAATGGACAGCAACATGTCTTTCATCTCTTTTTGTTTGCCACCAAAATGGCTCCACCTAACCCAAAAGTGAGTGCCTAGAAGCCCCAGGAGCGAGAGAAGACCGGTTCCGGCAGCGCACGTCTGATCCCTGCCTCCAATTCCTTCTCCGAAACCTTTTCCGAGTCCATGGCCTTCAAGATCACGGGATATACGTGGCGATAGAGGCAAGTGGCAACCCACCTGACGTGGACGCCCCCCAAAACGGAGCTGCTTGGTTTTGTTTGAGATAGCTACCTGCCAGTCAGCCTCTTGTATGGTGCTTCGAAATGTCTATATTCGGGTGCCAACATAGGAAAATCCCACCAAAATGGATGAGGTTTCTTTTGGTGGCCCTTTCAAATCACCCCAAACCGGGAACCGAGCCTCAAGAAAACTTTGGTCAAACGGATTTTCGCCGAGCCGCGCCGAAGCACCTTCATTAGGCGTCCTGTCTGGGCTGCTCTTTTGCCACCACGCGCGAATCGCTTCCAATTGGGACCATGCACCTGAGCCAAACTTAGAGTGACTGCAGGAGGCCTGGGTTTCCCCGGCAAATGGGGCATAAAACCCATCTAAACCAGTGGAACCCATCTATTTCTTCTTCCAAACTATCTTAGAAAAGGACCCCTATGTTGACCACTTTCTGCTACTAAGGAAGAATGATGGAACACCAAAACTAGAGACCCCTCCAAGTGGCTGGAGTCTTTTAGGGTTTCCCTTTAAAAACCATCCACCAAGGGTCCGATTGCGATCTTTAAGACACACCGACTTGAAAAGAGAAAATGATCCCTTCGTATCCGCCGTGGCACATTGCACCCGATGGCCAAAAGGGCTTTGCCGGGGGATGCCCAGCAACGCCAGCAGGCCAAGCTGGAGGTTGGTCTTCTGTTCCCCCGAGATGACCTCAGCTTGGGCCTGCTTTTAGGGGGTTGTGCTGTTTCGAGGGTACCCTTTTTGGGGTCGGATTGAACATCAGAAATTTTGGGGCACCCCTAGTTTGACACAGACCGATACCCAGTTCCCCTTCAACCCCAACCACCTAACCAACCAACGTATCTTCAGCTTCCCCCCCCGATGACTGGGAGTCCGGAGGTTCGGGAAGCTCATTTATCCTCTACCACCAGAAGTTCAAATCCAATCCAAAGCGACCTGACGGGCCGGATATGTCCAGAGGCACCCGAGGCAACTCAACCAGTCGCCTAGAAACAGGCAGTTTTGAACGTAAACCTAAGGCGAATCTGTTCCAGGCCTCGAACATCGAGTTGCTGAAAAGACATAAACATTCACTCGCCCTTTCCTTTAAGACCAGGCCAAAATGGTCGCCTCCTTATCGTGTTAACACCTCAGTCATAACCCCCAATTGTTCAAAAGCTCCAAGGGAATCGGAAGAACCGAATATCCCTACCCCCTGCAAAAAGGCCTGCGGGGTTGCTAGGGGGTTAGTCATTTCACCCGTTGGTTAAGGGAGATGGTCCTGGAGTCCTGATTGGCAAGATGTGCTCGCCTGCAAGCTTTCTCCTTGAACCATCACCCACCAAAAGGACTATCAAACGAACTGATTGCCTTTTTCAGCGTGTGATGCAAACACCACCTCCAAAAGAAAGAAGCAAAATGGATTTGTCTCAAACCGGTAAACATTCCAAAAAGTGACTTGCCCACATTGTGTACTTTTTTGGGGCACTGCACTTTGCAATTAGAGCTTGGTTCTCCCATGTTCCCCCCCACTGTGTTGGGTTGACGTATGCTGAACAAATGGTGGCTTAAAGAAAAGCTGGCCCTCAGTACAAATTAAAGTCGTCCCTCAATATGCTAGCAACTATTTTGACTGAGCCAGTCATGGTGCTGACCAAACTTGTGTTTAAGCGCGGCCCTTTTTGGATGCAGTTCGAAAGGTAAGCTAAGAAGGAAACAAGCCAAAACACACGACCGAACCTCAAATGGTGTTGACAGAATGAGCCTCCTAGTTCTCCTCTCTTCCCTTAGTCTCCTTTCATCGCCGTTGAAAGTGACCCTTTCAGTGATACCAAGTGGCGTGTCCCATGACTACTTGTTCACTTGGGTCCGCTCGGAATTGGCCATTCTCGAAACTTTTTCGATTGTTCTTTTGGTATCAGGGAAACTTGAAACCCATCCATCTTTTTGGACAATCAACGCAGGGATTCCGATCCCTTAGCCCGAATTCTGATGTCCAAGGCTGCGGAACCCAAATATAAAATCACGGGAACAAAACAACCAAACGTCGGTTTAGAGCAGTATGGCCGTTTCACTACTTAACACTGACTCTCACGTTTCGGGTGGATGGCCAAAAAACAGTCCAAACTTTCTGCCACTAAAATGGTCCAAACCCAGAAACTGAGCCAAGTCCGGCTTCGGAACGAAGCCAAAGTGAGGTGACTGGGTTCCCTTATCGCCCATTGACGTGGCAACCTCCGCGCGTCCTCGTCCGACGTCCGAGTCGCCAGCTGCACCTCGAGATCCAGCAGCGGCTGGGCGGCGCCGCAGGTCCAGAACTCCGCCATCAGCAGCAGATCCGGGGGGCGCCAGAGCCGCTGCGCCTCACCGAGAGAAAGGCGAGGGGGAGAGAAGGGGGGGGAAGCACGGTGGAGTTGGTTGGTATAAAGGGCTTGGATTTTTTTAATAGAGAAGGTCAATTCATGTAAGGGCCTAGTATCTATGTGTGTCTCTCTCTCTCTATATAGATATATATATATATATGAGTGCTCATATATGTAGTTTGCGGGTTTAATTGAGGGTTTGAAGGTTTGCGCCCTAGTTCGTGATGGGCTGGGCTTGTAGGGCGCTCCTTGAGTCCAGGCGCGGAGGTTTTTTTTTTGCTGCCGGGTCTAGGCATGGCCAACCACAAATGAAGCCCTTTCGCTTTTGGTTTATTTTCCCTCTAGGTGAACATGGAACCGAGAACCCCCCTGCATGCTTCGAGAAATCGGCTTTTGGCTTTTTCTTTTGGTGGGGGGGGGGGGCCGTGCGAGTTTGCAGGAGAAAAAAAAAAAAAAAAAAAAAACGGATGCCACCGGCAAACCGGAGAGAAAAAAGAATAATATTGAGAACAATTTTCCTGGGAGAGATCGTTTTGCCTCACCAAAAACAGGTCTGGGGCTGGTGCCAAGGGAACCCTTCTAACGAATCAAAGCTTTAGCCAGCCATTGGAGGGCTCCTGATCAGTTTCGCGTAAAGAGAGACTTTTGGGGGAACCCCTTTGAGGTCAGTTGCTCTTGGGGGCCCGGTTGTATATGGCTTCTTTTGGGGGGGACCCCAATTTTCACAACCATTCGGAGAGTCTTTTTGAGGCTACCCGGGCGAATTTCTTTTGGAGAAAGTGAAGCCAAATGGAATCCAGTGCGCGACACTTGCCGAAGAAAGGCATGATGGGCCAGCAGAAAAGCTATCGGCGCTCGAGCTGTACTCTAATGGGGTGAAGGACAGGCGATTTCCCTAGCCATTCCCAGAGTGCCTGAAATTATAACAAACCAATGCTTCAAACAAAAAGGGGGGGTCGAAGATGTTGCGGAGCACCAAAGAAGCTAAAGGGTTCAAGGTCATTTCACCCCTGGGAGCTCAAACATGGTTCTCCCCAGCAAGTTGGGCTTGGTTCAAGCTGGATGAGAACAGCAGCTATTTGCCCGGATCCAAGTCGAGGGAGATAACCAGAGACAAACGGTGCGCTTCTGGAGGTCTCGGGATCCACACCCACAAGCAAACCTATCTTCGGCCCTTAAGGGGATCCAAACCAAAGACACGAGAGTTCTTTTTCGCCCAGACTCTCAGACTCAACCCAGTTGCTTTCCCCTGTGTCAAGATAGGAATAGAACTTACCACCAACATGTCTTCGGTGTCCTTTTGAACATCTTTCTCACGCCCAACAAATGGTACCCTCCGGGAAAAAGAAGAAGAAGAGAAAAGACGCCTGACCCTTCTGAGTCCTTTGCCTTTCCGAGTGGTTAAACATCGGCTCGGCTCCGTGCCAAGGCGCTCGTCCCTTCCAGGGCACGTCTGGCAGCCATTCCCGGGGCGGGCGGGCGGCCGGGATCCAGCGACACACCCTGGGATCGCTTCCGATCGCTTCCGATCCGATCTCTTGGGCTCCATGCGAATGGTTTTGGACTTGGACTTGGTGCAGAACATGCGGCGAAAATGGCGCGAACATGTTTGGACCCAGAGGTTGGTGGCCAAAACAAAAACATGCACCACTAGTGCTTGGTTGCCATTGCAAGGGTGGTGTTGATGGCTGGAAGGGCCAAACAAAAACAACTTCTGACGCACTTCTCTTGGCAACGTAAACCCATAAACCGAAACCTTTGCTATCACAACTCCCTTCCGTAACACTTCCCCTGGGAACGGGTGAAAGTGGCAACCACTCCGTGTCAGAAATCTGCACGGGTGCCATGGGTATCGCTGGCCTCAGCTTGCACTTCAAGGTTTCCACTTCCTGCTCCGTCCACTCCTCCACCTTCGCCAGCGGCTCCTCGCGTCGCACAAAAGAAAATGCGTCGTCGCGGCTCGTGCTGGGCGCCCTTCTTTTTTTTTGGGCGGGTGCCTGGACCCCCCGCAAAACGCGGTCGGTGGTGTTTTTGGGCGCCTTCCTGAAAAAGGGGAAGGTCACCTACAACAAAAGTTTGGGGCAGTGACCATCTTTTGTGCGGCAGCTTGATGGTTTTGGGTGCCTGAACCTTGTTTCCCCCACGAAACATGGGACATTCAGGGTCTGCCAGCTGGCTTTTTGGTCCTGAAACATGTCAAGCTCGTTCCTTCTCGTTCCCCTCAAATGTTCAGCATATTGGTGCTTTCAAGCCCATTCTTTTTTGCTCGAACATTTTTTGGGATCCCATTTTGGGTAGGTGTAGCACCCATTTTGGTCAATTTTAGTGGGTACGATTTGGTTTTTAACCAATGGCCACATCTTCCTCGGGTTTGCCATCACCCCGGCTCCTCCTTCTTGTCCGGCACGGGCGCCGCCAAGAAGTCCCCCAACGGCAGCATGGCCGACCAGGAGGAGAAGAAGCTGGCGGCCGCGGACTTCTCCTCGCTCGGTCGATCGAGCCAAAAATTCTTATCGGCGTCTCGGAGTCTTCACGGCAGGTGGGTGTGGCTCAAAATCAAACAGGAGGGGTTACGCAGATTTTGGTCCATGTTTCCACTTCCAGGGTTCCATTTTGGTACCGGTTTTGTAAGGCACCACCCTGTGGGAAACACACCCCGTTTACCTAGTTCTAGTATCTCCCTAGGAGACCACAAGGGAAACGAGTAACATCTGGAATAAGTCACAGGGAGCGAGCTACAAAATGGAGTGAACAGCCAGAAGGAAACCAACAGGAAACCAACCAACCATCGAGGGTTGGTGGCTTTTGTTGGGGGAACGCTGGGGGTTGCACTAGTGGGTGACTGTCGGCGCTTTGTACAAGTGAAACCGGCAATTTTCGATTAAACCATGTTGGGGTTGATCAAAAGGTCCTTTACATGGGATGACCATTGGGGAACCACTCAAAAAATGAATATGTTTCCACTAAATGGGAAAAGTTGCCCATGGTCATTTGGGGGCTGAAGGGAATATTGATCAACCCCAATGTGAGCCACGGTGAACATACCAGGAAGAAACCCAAATCGACATGCAAGGCAAAACACGGCCCCTTTGAAACGGCACCCGCCCAAAAGAAGAACTCAGCAACGAAATTGGCCTTGCCAAAGGGCGAGGCTATCCACACCAACAGGGGGAATGTAGAAATGCGAGCCATGGGCATATTTCTGCGGCCCAAATGAACCTGGAAACAATGGGGTGCGCCCCCTGTTTGTTGCGACTCAAACTTTGTGGGGTTTCCTTGAATACAAATAGAGTACTGGACATTTTGACTGAGCCCCCATTCGGTTGCTCTTTGGGTTAACGCTAAAAGACCCTCTCTTGCCTGGCTCGAATTCTGTCTTTGTGACACCAAATGAGCACAATTTCCAGGGCTCCCCAAATTGACATTGCCATTTCTCAGGTTTGTTCAACCCCATGGCCATGATCAATGATCGCGCCTCTGGAGTCCAAACTATTCGCACGCATCTATGGGCCATTGACTGGAATCCTTATGATCCAACAAAACCACAAAGGATCCACGACGATCCATAGCAACCCCAAACGAATCGTTGACATAAAACAACCTAAAAAGGCAAGGCACGTGATGCATACCATCTCGCAAAAACGACAAGTCCCCATTCGCCGGCGGTTGACTTGCTGGGAGGTCTGTGCCTTAGACACCTCGCAGGGCTCGATGAGGGCATGCAAACACTCGTACAAGGAACCGGATCCTCTAAATCAGCTGGTATTTGGGTGACATTTTGGACTGGCCCATGAGTCCGTTGACGGACCCTTGTGTGATTAATTAGATAAAAATCTTGATAGGGAACCGCGAATCCAGTCCTGGACTCACTCCCAGTCCCAAACAACCAGTGGCGGAAAAAGGAAAGACAAAAACAAGAGGGAGGCACCTTAAAGGTTCTCCTCCTCACTAAAAAGCGGACAGGGCACAGGTCCGCGCCCTATCCCCAAGTCTCCGCCGTCTCCTTCTCCTTCTCGGGCTTTGGCTTCGGCTTGGGCGCCGCTTCTTTGGCTTCTTTGGCGGCAGCAGCGTTCAGCGCCTGAACGAGAAAAAGTTGTCGCGTCGCTTCACTTGTTGACATACGGGTATGGGTCAAAAAATTAGACCACTAGGATATGCGCCGCAAGTTTTTGTCCATGTTTGCCTCTTACCACGGCCACCCATTTTTTGGATTACCCGAGTTTTGACCACCACAGCCATACATCATTCGCGCCTTCCGCCCCAGGTGTTTCTTTCTCCCGGTTTCGTGGGGCCAAGGGCACTTCGTGGGCAGTGCCTAACCAGATGAGATGTCGAAGGGGAACCCTCCAAGTGCTGATTGCTTTCTCTCTATTTTCCTGTGAAACGAAGCATTCCCACGCAGAACCCTCAAACAAAGACGCAGCCAATCTTTAAAACAAAATCCACTCTGGTCGGGTTGTGGGTGCCAGGAGGGAGTTTGTTGTTCTTTTGGTCTTCTTTTCCCGAGCACACGAGCCCACTAGGCTGCAGGCAGGACTCCGGCGATGGCGCGTGCAGAAGATCACTGCACAACTGCCTGATGGCCATGCTGCGCAGCAAGATGCAAGGGTGTGAAGCCATCGTCCGCCGCCTTCTCTTTGTCAGCGCCGGAATTCAGCAGGCACTGCACAACCGCCATCATTGTCTGCCTACTCTCTGTCAGCACCAGCGTCCAGCAAGCATTGCACAACTGCTTGATGGCCCTGATGTGCAGCAAAATGCAAGGGTGTGGCGCCATGGTCCGTCGCCTTCTCTTTGTCAGCGCCGGCATCCAGCAAGCATTGCACAACTGCTTGATGGCCCTGATGTGCAGCAAAATGCAAGGGTGTGGCGCCATGGTCCGTCGCCTTCTCTTTGTCAGCGCCGGCATCCAGCAAGCATTGCACAACTGCCTGATGGCCCTGATGTGCAGCAAAATGCAAGGGTGTGGCGCCATGGTCCGTCGCCTTCTCTTTGTCAGCGCCGGCATCCAGCAAGCATTGCACAACTGCCTGATGGCCGTGATGTGCAGCAAAATGCAAGGGTGTGGCGCCATCGTCCGCCGCCTTCTCTCTGTCAGCACCTGCGTCCAGCAAGCATTGCACAACTGCCTGATGGCCCTGATCTGCAGCAAGATGCAATGGTGTGTAGCCACCCTTCGTCGCCTTCTCCTTGTCAGCAACGGCGTCCAGCAAGCACTTCACAACTGCGTGATGGCCCTGATGTGCAGCAAAATGCAAGGGTGTGCAGCCATTGTCCTTCCCTTTCTCTTTGTGAGCGCCGGCATTCAGCAAGCAGTGCACAACTGCCTGCTGGCCGTGCCGCGCAGCAAGCTGCAAGGGTGTGAAGTCATCGTCTGTCGCTTTCTCTTTGTCTGTGCCGGCATCCAGCAAGCATTGCACAACTGCCTGATGGCCGTGCTGCGCAGCAAGATGCAAGGGTGTGGCGCCATCATTGTCTGCCTGCTCGCTGTCAGCACCGGCGTCCAGCAAGCATTGAGCAACTGCTTGATGGCCCCGATGTGCAGCAAGATGCAAGGGTGTGGAGCCATCGTTGCTCGCCTTTTCTTTGTCAGCACCGGCGTCCAGCAAGCATTGAGCAACTGCGTGATGGCCCTGATGTGCAGCAAGATGCAAGGGTGTGGAGCCATCGTCCGTCGCCTTCTCTTTGTCAGCGCCGGCATCCAGCAAGCATTGCACAACTGCCTGATGGCCGTGCCGCGCAGCAAGATGCAAGGGTGTGGCGCCATCATTGTCTGCCTGCTCTCTGTCAGCACCTGCGTCCAGCAAGCATTGCACAACTGCCTGATGGCCCTGCTGCGCAGCAAGATGCAAGGGTGTGGCGCCACCGTCCATCCCTTTCTCTTTGTCAGCGCCGGCATCCAGCAAGCATTGCACAACTGTGTGATGGCCCTGAAGTGCAGCAAAATGCAAGGGTGTGGCGCCACTGTCCATCCCTTTCTCTTTGTCAGCGCCGGCATCCAGCAAGCATTGCACAACTGCATGATGGCTCTGCTGCGCAGCAAGATGCAATGGTGTGAAGCCATCATTGTCTGCCTTCTCTGTATCAGCACCGGCATCCAGCAAGCACTGCACAACTGCCTGATGGCCATTTGCAGCAGCATTATGCAAAGGTCCCCTTTGGCTGTTTGTGTCAATAGCATTAGGGTCACGAGGCTTCTCCAACAGCTCAAGCACATGTTGTAAGTCGCCCCTTTCCGCTGCTCGCAGCAAGTCAACACCATTTGCCAAACCCTCTGCTTCACCTGTGACTGCTTCAACATATTGCCGCACAATGGCCGTCAGGCACTCGGTATTTCCCCACGGACTCTCTGGCCCCAAATTGCCTATGCCACAAGCCAACGCGAGCCGCCTGAAATTCTGCAAGCGCAGTCCTTGCTTGGCTAGTGTCCATAGGAAAACCCCAAACACACACACAAACGCACAAACACACAAACACACAAACACACAAACACACAAACACACAAACATACAAACACACAAACACACAAACACGCAAACACGCAAACACGCAAACACAGAAGCACAGAAACACAGAAACACAGAAGCACGGAAACACGGAAACACAGAAACACGAAAACGCAGAAACACAGAAACACACACACACACAAAACACACACACAAAGACACACACACACACACGCACGCACAAACACACACACACAAACACACACACACAAACACACACACACAAACACACACACACACAGCAACACACACAGCAACACACACAGCAACACACACAGCAACACACACAGCAACACACACAGCA